TTGTACACGTCGGCCCATGTGGTCGATACACTGCCCCTATACACCGTTCTCCACCCAGGATATACTTCATCAGATATCAATATTGTCATCGCCGGAGGCAACATCAAAGTGGGAGCATCACTGGACGTGGGAGGTGATATAGGGTTTGCGAGGAGTGCTTGTACAGGCGATTTTTCAACACTATCTGTAGGCGCCTAGACAAAGCAACAGTCAGACAAACACAGATTTTCGTATTCATCAAATTCACCTCTAGAGCGGTTGGCGTGAAGGTCGGATTGCTCGAAGGGCTAGATATAGGTGAACCTGGCAACGTCTCACTGATCGTTTTTCTCGCAGTGCCTTTACCAAGGCTCTTCAAACGCCCCATGAACCCGCTGCTGCCACCAGGAGTGTTTAATGTCGGTGTTGTCAGGACGCTCGAAGGACCACTCCATGCAGAAAAATCACCGGCGTCTGACAGCGCAGTGCTTCCCGTAGACTGGCGCCGTGCATAGGGGTGGGGAGAGAAATAATCCATGTCCCGAGGCGCGCTAGGGAGCGAAGCCACTGGATCAAGGCCTTGGGTGCGTATTGGTCGAGGACCAGGGGTGGTGTCGTTAGGAGGTAATTGAGAGATGATGGATAACGGTGGAGGAGATTTCAGCTGAACAAGCTGTATCATTGGGGTAAGAAGAGGGCTGGGTCGTGTGAAAGAGGGAAGTGAAGGCAGGACAGCGGGCAAACAAGTGGTTGATATGACAACCGCACTGCTAACAAGAACTCGCGGCGGCCTTGTTGAAGACTCGAAGGAATGGTGCAGCGTAGAACTGGAAGAGTTTCCGTTCAATTCCAACGATGGTGGGGCCGCAGTGCGCTGTATAGCAGAGTGACCAGTCTCGGAACCGTGGGTGTCGCGTTTACGACGAATACGTTGCTCCTCGCGAATGAAGCCGAGAAACAAATTTCGCAGGACCCACCTTCCAATGTTAACTGAAATGCGTGTCCAGATCAGATGATTGTTAACACGAAGAAAAGCATCCTTACATCGGAGTTCATCGCCAAATTGCTTGTCATGATCAAAGCCAGCTTCATCTGCATATATCTCTGAATCGAAACAGCGCTCGTTGATATGCACAGTAAGGACACCGGTTTTCGTGTCCACAGACGACCAAGATGAACTGACAGCATCACCCTCAATGCGCTCTCGGACTGCCTCAAGCGCCTCACGAGGACTTCGTTCTTTGTCACCCCCTGTCACACTCCCGCTGTCACGACGGGGCCCACTGCTGGAAGTACTGCATGATCTACTCGCCGCACGCACCTCCTCGCGGGCAAACCAACCTTTGCAGACTCCTCGCACGATATCCCACACAGCGACCTCACCTGTCGTATCCACCGTTAACGCATGCATCCGATCGTTCAGCAAGATGGCTCGCACGAGGCCAGGAGAGCCTGCTATCACTGCATCTGGGTTTGCATTGAAAGGCTCAGCATCAGCAGCGAACTCTCGGGCTTCATATGCTGTTCGAGGGTCTTGCACTGCATCAACAGTTAGGGCCATTGATATCTCACTTTTCATGCTCCGCAGAGTGTTGGGGGGCATGAGGGTAGAAGAGTTGTGAACGACAGCATGGAGTGGTAAACGTCCTCCCGGAACGGAGGCGATGGACGCAGCAGAGTATAATGTTGCAACCTCGGGATCGCGTCCACGCAGAGCGAATGAAGAAGAGCAGAAAGGACCATCAGGAGAGGTGAGTCGTACAAAAGATGCGAGCGGTACCCCAGGGTAAGCTGCTGTCGCGTCATCTCTACGAACTAGTCGGTAGCTCAGTATTGAAAATTTAACTTAGAATTGCAAGTGCACCTTGATGTATTGACGGTGGTGCAGACCACTGCATAGAGTCACGTCCAAGGGAAACTTGTCTCCTCGAGATCGTAGTAAAGGAGCTATCAGAAATAATTTCTCTCTCTTCATCTAAGACGCGCTTCGGTACGGGTTTCGGTAGCTTCCAGCGACTGATGCTTGATTTACCAGAGGCGGTCCAAAGAAGGCCGTCATCTGCGGTCACGATTTTATTGATGCCTTCCCCGACTTCAACAGAAGATTCCCGCGCAACGGTGATGCAGGTACCGTCCGAAACGTCTGCGCATCCCTCCACATCAACTTTGCACACAATACCCGACTTGTCGCCAGAGTAGAACACCTCGAGTGAGGGATGCGTCGAATGTAGAGACCAAACAGAATCTGTGTGGTATGCGAACGTATGGAGGCATCGCTGAGATGACAATGACCATAACTTGATGGATGCTAGCGATACAACTATTCAGGAAAAATATTTAAGATCATGATGAATTACATACCATCTGCAGAACCTGTGAGGAGCTTGCCAAACTCATTAGAACATGTCATTGTCGAACTATTCATAACTTACGTATCGCGCATCCTCTGAAATAAGAATGGCTCTAATATTGTCCGTATGACCAACTAGCTTCCCTGTCCTCTTTCCCGACCGCGGGTCCCACATCCTGATAACACGTTCCGGAGATCCACTTGCGATGGCATGTCCGTACGGGTCGGAGGCTATTGCATATACAGAGGCTTTTGGCGCAGTAGTATCAGGTGGGTTGAGGGTAAGGAATGGTTCGGGCGTCATCGATGCTCGGGTAAGATCCCAGAGTTTAATGGTCCGGTCAAATGAACCAGAAGCTATCCAATTCTGTTCACGGCTAGACACATGTTAGCATGAACCATTATATTCGAGGAATGCATACCAAAGAGTAAGACAGCGTGCATAATCGGCGTGAGATCCTATTGCAGAGGGGTCACTGGGAGAAATAGCATGGGGATGCCAGGCCTTGATGGTTCCGTCAGATGATGCAGAAACAACTGCTTATAGTCAGCCCATTGACGCGTCACTGCATCCTATGTGCTTACTTGTCTGATTATAATTACAAAGCAAGAGATCATTTACCCAGTCTGTGTGGGTCTGTGCGCACTGACGGAAGCCAGAAGGCTACAAGGGATGCTTCCAGTTACACGCAACATGATAAATAGGATGTCTCACCGATCCTGATGTCAACGCATCGGTGTCCAATTGCCACTGAAGTTCGTACGGTAACTGGTCCGTTGTGCTGCCTCTTCGTTTTCGTCCTCCATTCTCCTTTACATCTCCTAGCACATCACCATCTCGTTGCTCGTCTTCCTCGGCCTCCTCAGCAAGTATTTCATCTCCCATCCCCGTCAACATTTCCCAGCTGTCCAACCGGTCTCTGCGGTGCCTGCCATCGAGTCTCCGCTTGAACGGAAGTCCCAAATCCCATGATATGATCAATCCATCCCTTCCACCAGTATAAAGGATGCCTTCCGGTGTGTCCCGACCTTCGAGACGCGTGGTTGTGTCGAGCGCAAGGGACATGGCGCCCAGTCGATGCCTTGGATGAGAATTCTCCGAAATATTCTTGGAATCGGCTAGTGATGTATGAGAGGGTATGAGGAGTGGGCGTATTGAGCCATTGCGGAGGATTCCAAGTGGTGGTAGCCTAAGCCGTGGAACGTCGTCCGTGGGTGGAGGTATCACATATGATACCCTACGCCTGGGAGGTGCCATGTAAAGGAAAATACAAATTTACATACAGGTATGCGAGTAGTATGGTATACAGTTGTCTCTGGAGAACGCGTTACGTTGATGGACTGTGGTTGAATGCTGTTGTTGACGGTGAGGAGAATGAGATGACGGGTATTATTGAATGTGTTTGGTGCCTGATCAACTTGAACGGTGCACCTGAGTGCATGGGATGTAATCTAATCTTATCCACACTGTCACTCATTTGACACATCATGAAAACCCGATACCTTATACTGAATCACCCATCGACGACGAGAGCAATAACTGTATTCTATTCTCAAAGACTGCTCAGAGCAGACCCTTAGTCACATCACAAAGCATGAGTAGCGCAGACGACGATAATTCTGGCTTCACTTCATTCTAGCTCAAAGTTCGGGGGCGTACAGCCTTGTGTCGCCCACGCGCCCACCGCTGGGTGACTGCCCGTGCCTGTCGGACCCATCCGTGTGCAACACCATCCCATTACCCACGAAAGCCGCCCTGATATACTACTCAATACACTTCCGTGCATAGTCAGTGGCGTGTTCGCGGCCTACAATCTGGCCACTGATCTAGATTCACCTCAGATTCTCGTCCGCAGCGTGCTGTGCGACCTTAACGAAGCACCTCCTCCGGTTTAGTCTTCAACTTGCGCAAGGGAATGCGATATTTACGAACGGGAGGTGCGCTTGACATACACTACCTCATCCCTTGATCCACACATACCAAGCAAGGTACTCAAGAAGAAGATGCACCCAGAATTGGGTCAGAATCGATGATAAACTCCGTCGTATAGCTATTGAAATTGTCCGTATCGGGATGGTCTGGTTTCATCTTTCCTCACTAGATCATGCTATAGTGCTGTGCATCATATAGCCAGTAATGACGAACTTGCTCGGGACTGCCTTCCACACAGCTGACCTTTTATTCTCGGGAGGACATATTCACGCGAAGGAAATAGGCTTCAAAGCAACGATGGAGGTGACAAGAGGCAATACCGAAACGAAAGAAAGCAGACGTCCGAGTCAGTTTATGCTATGTGAACTTGGCTGGTCTAGCCTTGACAGGCGGCCTCATAGACGACTCGGAAAATTCGAAACGGTTTACTACGATAGAGAACATGAAGACAATAGTAAAGTTTGGAGGCATAATATGAGTGAACTCGAGTGCCATTGCTGGTAGTCTAAACGTATTCGTGCCCTCTGATTGAGAGGCCATCCAGATTCCGCACGATTCCGCAGCTGAAAACCTAGGAGGTCGGCCACTAAATGTTATCACAACGTTCATCAGAAGCCGCCCAAAAGTTACGAGAACGTATGTTACAATAAAAAAAGTAGTAAGTTGTGTGTCAAATTTTCACAAGGTTGAGAAATGATGAAGAGTATCATGGTTGAAAAAAACGATGAGAACAAAACGTTCGGATACGGGGAATCGAACCCCGGGCTACCGCGAACCCATCAATGAGAGGCGGTAATGTTAACCATTACACCATATCCGATCGATGACACAGGGCTTGTAGATAGCTCTAGCTGTTATAAGTGCCAATGGATTAAGTACATAGACACTTGCAATTTGAAGCTTTGACATTCATCTCCCCATTCGCAATGTTCCCTACTCGCATCTGGACTACTATCCTGCAGAAGTCGCGTGGTACTCAGGGCCTGCCAGTCCTTGCTGGAAACTACCTACGAGCTCGACTACCGGCACACAGCCTTCGTTCAGCTCCCCTGCGCCAGCTCTCGACATCATCTCCTCGACATGCTCAGTACACGCGCTTTCCGTCCGAACAGCACCGGAATCCATCGGGAGAGGCAATAGACAATCGCATGAAGATTGTAATTGCACTTGCTGCAGTCGCAGGAACATATTATGTCGTGCAGTACGTGTTCAGTGCACTGCTTGTCATATCATGTCTCACTTTAGCCCTTAAGTTTAGAACAAGTCCCGGAAACAGGTAGATGGCGATTTATGGATATCAGTCCAAAGTACGAAACCAAAGTGAGAAAATCTTAGCCTGAAGGAACACACGCTCATATTTCCCCTTGCAGCTTGCACAGGCGGCATATGATGAACTCTTGACTGAATTCCGAGGCAAGATACTACCTTCCAATCATCCTATAACACAACATGTCCAACGAGTTGTTAATCGTGTCCTTGAATCATCGGATCTTGGCCACTTGCGTTCTAGCGAGCCTCGCCGGTCACTAGTAGAAGCATTAGATGACTTCTGGAGCGAGGACTCATTCACCACTGGAAGACCTTCCGGGGAGTCGTCTACCCCAGAAAGCGGAGGTAAAGAATGGAATTTGCTTGTTGTAAATGATCCATCCGTTGTAAACGCTATGGCCACCTTTGGTTCGCTCTCGAGCTACCTCCACCAGCGAACCTTTACATATATGTGGTCACAGGAAATATCGTAGTCTTCACCGGAATATTACCTATATGCAAGGATGAACAGGGTTTGGCTGCTGTTCTTGGACATGGTACGCGATTCTGCCAAAGATAATCTGCGCAACTCAAATTATTCGACAGAGATCGCTCACGTGGGTATGATGGCATGATACAATATGCACGTACACTCTTAACGCCCCTTTACCAGTTGCTCGACATGCTTCTGAACGCTATTCATCCTCTAAAGTATTCCTGGCGATAGCAGTTCTTCTGCAAACAATCTTTGGGTTCGATTTTGGAATCACCAACCTCATAAGCACGTTGCTACTGGAGCTACCCAATTCGCGGACTCAGGAATATGAGGGTGCGTTTCTTCTAGTCATAATCATGGAAATGCTGACGTCAGGGACGTAGCCGATACTATCGGCATGCAGCTCACTGCAAAGGCATGTTTTGACCCCCAGGCTGCTGTGGAGTGAGTGATTTGGGTTTTCCGTTGTCTGACTTATGTGTGCGATGTTACAGAATGCATGCGCGACTCGCACAACATGAAAAGGCGCATGGAGCAACAAGTCTAGAATTCTTGCGCACGCACCCTGGTGCGGAGCGGAGAATCAAAGTCAGTGTAGTGTTTCTACTTTGAACTTCATGGTCTCACTTTTCCGTTAGCATCTCGAGGAACTAGTACCAGGGGCCTATACCACACAAGCTAGTAGTCCTCAATGCGCAGGTATGCAGGACTATGTGAGACGGTTCAGGGAGGTTTCTCCTGGATGGTCGTAGATTATCCACCAGAGTTAATATTTCTGTTTGTGAATACATTCAGTTTCTCTCACCGCTCATCTTTTATTCGTGTGATTTGAAGAGTATATTCACATGAGAGGTACGAATCAGTGTTGTAATTAGACAATGAACGGCAGCTTCGAAGTGTTCCCATCTGTCATATCTCTGAATCCTTCAAGTTTCATCCCTTCCAAACCCCTGAATCATAGGAAGAGCGATTGCAGGGAAAACCACCATCCCGGGTTTTCAATATGGGAGAACCCCCCAAAATGTAATAAGGTTGGGAAAAGGCGTGAATCATGCTATCAGCTACCACTTAGTAGAAGCTTCGTACTTCCTCGTCGTTTCGACTAAGTTTTCCTATGCATGAGCATGAAGGCACGTGCCGGTTGCCAATACCTTGGGTCGACTTGTGGTTGAAGAGTGTTTCAAATAACGGTGTATTTCAAGTCAGTCATTACAATATTTCAAGGCCTTCAATCTGTGCTATTTTACTTGATGCTAATACCAGTCATGTGCGTGTACCAACCGCAGCTGCATGAGCCGTATCGTGCATCAGTCTTATGGTGGCGAGCACAATAATATCAATGAATCACAGAAGAAAAAATCGTAGGTTTACCAATCAGCTGTTCCACAGCACGATCAATCCTATAACAGCAGCAACCAAAGCCCAGACTCTGCTTCCTCCTGCGCTTAGCCCCTGCGCAGCACTATCGGAGGGTATAGACCCGGGGGTGGAGGAAGCAGTGCTGTTGACAGAGGTCGACGGCCCAGACGAGGCAGACGAAGCACTGGAAGGCAATGTAGTGGTCGCTGAGATGGACGTATTAGGTGACGATACGGATGTAGGTGAAGTAGTAGTACCGACGATGGCAGAAGTAGTAGTATCGGTAGTGGCAGTTTTAGCACGGGAAGAAGTTGTGCGAGCGCGGGACAGATCTTGACCAGGGAAAGCGCGCCCTTCAAGTTGGAGTGAATATCCATCATCATAGCAAGAGACATAGAATTCTGGTGTATATATTAATCAGGCGATTGGCTCACATGGGCCTTACTCATGTGAAGCTGAACTTACGGTCTATATCAGCTTGTGCCTGTGTATAATCCGTAGCGTTAAGTGCAGTTCCGATGCATAAGAGGCAGTCGTAGTAGCTTGTTCCAAAAGACTGGGTGCAGCATGCGGTCATAGGACATCCCTGGATGAGAGCCACATCAACATGGACAACTTGAAGGTCAGCAATGCAAACTTACAGCATTCACTTCGTTTTGGACAAGATCGCAGGTTGAGATGCACTGCGAAGGAACGGAGCTGCTTTCATATTGTCTTTTGTACGACGGACTCGACAGCGCCCGAAAAGACTGGGTCAGTGGATAAGAAGCGCTTGGACGAGATGAGACAAGGGTAGTAGCAAATGACAGGATTACGAGGTAGATTGAATGAACATGCATCGTTGACTGTTGTTACAAGGTCACGAAGTTCGAGAAGGGCTCCTTGAGAGGGTGAACCATAATATGGGCCCACTGGCAGGAGTACAGTATATGGGGCCGGCGTCAATTGCAATGAGTCCGATCATGTGTCATGCATCATGCACACCATGCTAGTGGTTTGTTCACGTTACCGGCATATGATCTAAATTGATAGAAGCAAAAAAGGTCACTTGTGATGCAATTATAGCTACCTGAGTTCTGACTTGGTCACTCAGTGAACTGACAGAAAGATGAGATGAAGACATAGTACAAGTGCTTGCAAAACAATTCTTATGTAATATACAACATTTGACGTAAATATTCCGTGTACGTGTGCGGCCGCAAAGGTCTAGAACGGTCTTATCAAGGGTAAGATCTTGGAACATATGCAAAACAGAGGGGAAATTGGAGACAATGAAGGGTCCAATTTGCGCATAGGACGTGGATCCGAAGCAAATGCTGAGCCTATACTGACCTAGTGGGAGTACAGGTTCCATCGCAGACTGCAGTAATCGCACGACTGTAACTGCGTCCAGTAGCCAACCATTACCCACCGGCAGGGTAGCTCAAGTCTCATAAAATTACGCACCCCATATGCATAATAAGCCTTGCGCTGGTTGATATTGACTCATACGAGTGGTCTGGGAGATGCGAACCCAAGCGTAGACGGCTATTCGCTATTCGTCGTAGCCTTTATCACATCGACCCTAGGCTACTACTAGTACCTACTCCAAGTGTCTAAGGCACACTTTTCGGTCGCTTCCGAACCGAAGAAGGTGGAGACGGTGATTTGTTTGATTGGTCCATGGACCAGCCAAATAAAAACACATAACGCGTCGGCTCATTAGATTTAAAATCTTCGCACTGACGCTACTTGAACAACTCGCCTGTTCATTTGCGCATCACAAAATGGCCGTCTTTGTTCAGCGCCCAGCACCAGCCTTTACAGCTCCTGCCGTCGTAGAGGCTGAATTCAAGGAGGTCTCCCTGTCCGAATACCTGGGCCAATGGTAAGCGTCTTGGGCGTCAGACATTCGTGAGAGGAGGAGCTAACATTAGAATCATCTCCAAGGGTAATTCTTTTCTTCTACCCAATGTGAGGATACTATCCGTCCTCGAGTACTATATTCTCACCATTGTCATCATCACACCAACAGGGATTTCACATTCGTCTGTCCAACCGAGATCTTGGCTTTCAATGATGCGCTTCCCCAATTCAAAGCGCTGAACGCATCTGTTCTCGGTTAGTTTGGAATTATTTTTGTAGTCTATTAGATGCGTTCTGATGGCTCCATAGGTGTTTCCACGGATTCCCAGTATTCCCATTTTGCATGGGCGCAGCAACCGCGGAAGCAGGGCGGCATTGGACCTGACCTCAAGTTACCTTTGATTGCGGACAGGAATATGTCAATATCCAAGGACTATGGTGTCCTCATCGAGGAAGAAGGCATCGCACTACGTGGTTTGTTTATCATCGACCCCAAGGGTATTGTCAGGTAGGTCTCCGTAAATTCTGGATTAGTCTAGTAACCGACGTTTTTAAATAGGCAAATTACCGTTAATGATCTGCCCGTCGGCCGATCTGTGGACGAAACCATCCGTCTTCTCAAGGCCTTCCAATTTGTGGTATGATTTTTTTCTTTGTGCATCGTAACATTTCACTGCATATTTTGCAGGAGGAACATGGAGAGGTCTGTCCTTTGGGCTGGAATGAGGGTGATAAAACCATCAAACCGGACCCCATAGGATCTATAGACTACTTCTCGACTGTGGATGATGCGGCCACTAATGGCCATGCGAACGGGAGTGCCAAGAAACGTCTTCGCACGAATTGATAAAAGGGTTTGCATGACAGCCAGA